CACTTCATTTATTACGGATCACTCTTTCTTCCATAACACCAAAGCAGAGGCCAGTCTCTCCTTGCTAGAGAAGTCCACAATCATCCTCAGTTACTTACTCCCGGGTGATCTTCCACGTCACAACCACGAGCTTAGGCTGTGCCCTCCACCCCTGGCAGTGATGCCACCCAGTCAGCCTGGGTGCCGGTATTTCTGCATGCCGCAGAGCCCGGGCAGCTCAGCCGTGGCCGCACCTTGTACCGCAGCACCAGAGGTACCAGCAGAGCCGAAGGTATAGGGCAGCGACAAAGCAACCATGCTGCAGGGTCTGCACCAGCAGAGAGAGGGCACGTTAATACTGACGTAGCAAAGCCAGGCGATCTTCCTACCACAGCCTCCAGACAAGACTTCTACAGTCTTTTCCTGAGGATATCATCATCTGTAACAGGGAAATGACCTGACACAGCTATTTGGATATGATTTAGCTTTTCTGGAATAACCACCTCTGCAAATGCTCTATATACCCCCCTTCCAAAAAACCACTTTTCTTTCAGAGGTCTCCACAATGGAATTAATCCAGAACAGCAATTTCCCCACATGAAGATAAGGTTTTGGGAAATTTTGTCTTTCTGCTTGCATTTATTTGTCAAGCTTTAAACCATTCCTCTGCCCCCGATGCCCCCTTTAGAAAGAAAATTAGCATATATTATCTCCAACTTTTCTATAAATATTGCCAAAGAGAAATGAGCCCTTTCCTGAATAAATTTGAGAGAAGTCCATACAGTCCTAAGAAAGACATTTTACCTGCAAACTAAATAGTATGTGAAGCTGTGCTTCAGACATTTAAAACAATTTCATCTAGTCATGTGGCAAAACCAGAAAGGGAAATGGAGAAAAGAGCTCAGAGAAGTAAAAATCAGATTTTTGGAGAGACCAATACTAGGGAAAAAGCTCCACTTGAATAGTGAATGGAATAAAGACAAGTTACTGTTATTTGCTAACTTTGCATTTAAAACCACAGAGGGCAAGTAAGAAACAACTTGAAAATCTTGTAACTCAGAGATTTTCTTCCCCCCCTTCATTGCACATGTGCGTATGTGTACATAGTGAATAATCCCTCCACTGTAGTAGCTACAGGAAAACAACAAGGATGCAGTGTTTTCATCAGACCAGTTCCTAGCAGAAATTTGCAATCCACATAAAACTGGTAAGAGTCAGCAGCAAGGCCTGGAAACTGGTAGAAACAGTCTAAAACCACACAGACAGAGGTACATCAGAAATACAACAGTAAGTAACACTGCAAAGACATTGCTCAGATAATGGGGGGGGGGAAATCATAGGATTTCTATCAGTATTTTCAGAAAAATCTCAATTTAAATAAAAATATAGCATTCAAAACATCTTCACATGGGAAAGACCATGAAACTCAACCTAAAGGAGATGTGCACAATTATTTAAAACTGGTAGTTAAAAGGAAGAGCGAGATGCAATTTTGTTTCCATGTCTGATACACATGCACTGGCACTTTTTGTTGAGCTAAAAAAGTCTTCAACTCAGCGACCACTTGACTGTCAGTAAAAGCAGTGAATGTGTTTATATCTATTTCTTGAGGATGGCCAGAAGGGTTTCTCTTCTCCCTTGCTGACACATGTTCAACTCCCAAAGCTATTTTATTTTGCTCTCCCCTGTCCCCAGTAAGAGATGCTAACTCTGATTTAATGTTGAGCTGAAGCATACCTGTTGCATGCAGGTAACACTTGGGCAGCTTTTTCATTCTTGAATAAAAGGAAGCGGAAGGACTTAAACCAAGCCATCTCTTCCCAGGCTTGGAAGGCTTCATAAGCCTTCTTCATAAACTGTCCAAAACAGATGTTTTGAGCCGACAGTTTTTAAACAGCTCATGGAAAAGATCTTCCACTGGTTAATCAGCCTTCACTTCTTACCTGGAGTGCTATAAACCTATTTGCTTCCTAAACAGCCACCGAGAATGCCATGAAAAAGGGCACAGAAGAGACCTGAAATTCAGATATTCTACTCTTGTGCAGATAGCATCCTCCAGGTTTGCCGCGTCCCCTTCCTCCCCCCTCGCAGGTTACCTCCAGCACAAAGCTCTAGGCAGAGGGCTGCGATCAGGTGCTATTTTGGGCGTCCTCTCCCCTTTTCCCGGGGC